ATTTTTTTAATAATATGTGGAAATCTCCGCTTTTACCTGAAGACGGTCACGAGACCAGAAACCCGTGTAGTAAAATTATGTAAAACAAAGCATAATATTTTTTTCTAAATAAATCCACATTACAACCAAAAACGTTTGCGGCACCTCTCTTCTCTTCTTTTTAATATACATACTTTTCTCTCGTTGGAACCACTACAGCCTCTTTCTTTTTATATATATATATATATATATATATATATATATATATATATATATATATATTGTATTAGCTAGGCTGTCACCTTTCTATGAAAATCAACACTTCACGAACAAGCCTGGCTTTCGCGCTGGTAAGGAGTCTAATTATGGCGTATATGTAATTAAACAACTCTTATTTCTCCAATGGAAAATTGTATGCCTACTATGTAGAGTTCATTGCAGCATGCAACCACATTGCTAAATACATCCTATTCTCATGCATTAGGAATCGGCTTCCAGACTCCGAATACAGCGAATATCTCAATTTGCCTGAACTACAGGGTGGTCCGAAAGTCTTGTCACCCTCTACCAAAAAGTAGCGAATAATAGAACAAGTAAATACAGTAATACAAATCACATGTAATGGATTCAGTTTATTCATTTTTATTGACTCTGTTACACATCGGAAATTTTTGTATGAACGACCATCATTCCCGTCGCACAAAATGATGCGTCGCCATGTCCTGTGTCCTGCAGTTTGTTGATTGTTTCAAAGGCTTTCTGAACGGCGTCCTTCAACTGATGGGTATTCTGGTATCGTGCATTTGAAACTCTCTCCTCGATAATGCTCCCACAGAGCGTTGAAATAGAAGATTATATTATGCAGGAGTAACAAGACTTTTGGACCACTTTGTATATCTGTCGGCAAAGTCGTATATATCGAGCGAAAACCCTAATATCGGAACATTACCAATATTATCTATGGGAGGGAAGAAGAGCCACAATCTACACTCTATCTGACATTATTATGCAAATTTATAGTTACCTACAAAATAACCTTTTTGTCTCTTACCAGGACCGGTATTCAATTTTTTTAAAAACCATTTCCCCACCTTGGAAGGCGATAATGCCACTAAGACGTAATGAGCTGTTGAGAGCGAAAGAGAATGAGAAGACGTTAGTAAGGAGAAAGGACAGTAAAATAAAACAGCTTTCAGGAAGACCGAAGATGGAGATTGACGCTGCGTTAATGTGAAATGATTTATTAGGTTGGTGCAAAAATAATGACGTAAGAATGTCGTTTTTTGACGTTAAAAAAATACGTCAAAAAACGACATTATTACGTCATTATTTTTGCACCAACCTAATAGAAGTGTGGCCGTTCGACCTGACTTTCATTACACGATTTAAGAACAAATCAAATCAAACGGCCAGGGACACCATAGTCCTTCCGCTTCTAACGAAGGCCAGCATATCAAACTCTGTTAAACGCCTTCAAGATAGCTGAAACGACATCCCGTGCCACACTATTCACATCTGAAGCCAGATAGGCACATTCAGTAATAACTGTCAACACTTCGGTGGTTGACCTAGGAGTGACAAGACTTTTGATAACTGAAATAGAAGACGTGATCATATTTAAACGGAACGCTGATCTTAAAATTTCAGTTATCTGTTTGGATTGGTATTGCTTTTATGTCCATCGTCTTTTTCATGTTGAATTATATATGGTCTATGTTAATCATGTTTTATGAATATGTCCTGAAGATGGTCTAAGACCGAAACGTCCAACGTTGACATTAAACATTAAAACAGCATAATCGCATATTAGGATTTTTGTTTGTTTTTTCAGTATATTTTTCTTCATACTGTCGGATCTATATCCATATATTTGCTTACATATATATATATATATATATATATATATATATATATATATAGTGCATTTAGGCAGCAGTCCTTCATTTATGCATGTTTCATTAAAAAAGACAAACAAGGTATTACGATTAAGATTTTTATTTAATTTTTCTTGTGTTCGAACAAGTGTTTTCTTTTTGGGACACAGAATGTGTAGAAACTGTTCAAATGTTCTAGAATTCCGTGTGCTTTCGGCTATATTTTTTAGCCATTATCAAGGATGATTTTATTTTTTCAGTTTAAATGAGTGTATGCCTCTGCTGGTCGCATAAACGTGAAACCCAGTGTCACAAACTCACATCCATACAAATTGTTAGCTCTATCAATGGTATTGAGCGCTTTCCAATAAGCACTGCATATAAAAAAATAAATATATATATATATATATATATATATATATATATATATATATATATATATATATATATATAAGGTGGGTTGTGAAAATGTTAAGAACCTGATTTTAGATTGAAGTTTATTTCTTCCACGAACAAGAGCTTACTGGGTATTTGATAAATAAACCTTGAATTAATATTTGCGCAGAATTTTCAAAGTGAATCGATATCATTTGCCAGCGGGCCTGTTAGGAATAATAAAATGCTTTCTTACCGACGAGACGTGTCTTCCCTCTGTCTTTTCTACAAATATTTTCATGGCAACTGCTGTCTTTGAGCTGTTTTCCCTGGTGACCCGAATATTCCCAGTCTTCTCTTTCCCTTTCAATCCACGTAACCCCCTACTTACTAGTAGCGTTACCGCCTTGTAGTGGATGAAACGATTAAAACAATAGAATAATGGTAAGGTTATTCGACACTATCCGATCAAATTCATAAAATCTCTTAAAACAGTTCGCCATATAAATAAGTTTCTGAAATCCACTAACAGTTATTGATCTTTCTAGTACTGATGTTAGTTTCCTTCCTTGTATTTCGTTTAAGGTAAGGTGGAAAGCTAGCATCTCAATTAAATAATATTTTTTCTTCTATTTACATGCACTATCCATTTTCATTGTTGTCACACTTGGAAGTCTTCGGGTGACGTGTTTTTTTCCCGGAGACCCCGTATAAAACCCGTATGAATCTGATGAAAAATAGTCATCTTAAAGACTAAAAGGATTCATTCTCTTGAACCTATCTTTAATCATTGATCTGAGAAGATGGTGGTATATAATTGATGGCTTAAACATTTCTGAGCAATATCTGTCTATATTTCTGAGATGAGGTATTATGTACACTATTTACATTATTCAGACTATTGTCCTCATCTTTGTTGCCATATTTATCTGATCCTTCAGTATCTGTCTATATTTTTGAGATGAGGTATTATGTACACTATTTACAATATTCGGACTATTTTCCTCATCTTTGTTGCCATATTTATCTGATCCTTCAGTATCTGTCTATATTTCTGAGATGAGGTATTATGTACACTATTTATATTATTCAGACTATTGTCCTCATAGTCTGTCTATATTTCTGAGATGAGGTATTATGTACAGTATTTACATTAGTCGGACTATTGTCCTCATCTTTGTCGCCATATTTGTCACAACGTTTCGACCGTTGTACGCTCCGGCCTTCTTCAGGTGGTTGGAATTTCGAACTGAACCCTTTATTTCGATCGCTGGGGTAGACTGTTCTAGTTCCACGTGCCATGTTTGATGGATGTCAGTTATCAGTTATCTCCTGCTATAAATACAATATGGGAACCAGTAATAAGGAGTGCCAGAGAAAAGCAATGATAACAAAGTTGCAATATGAACTCTGGTAAAGACATGCAATGATAACAGCAAAAAATTGCAATATGAGCACTGGTAAAAATGATGCTGAAAACATTAGGTTTATAATACTCAGAAGTTCATACCCAGATGTCCTCAAGGACACATGGCACAGTGGATAAAGGCGTTGGTTAGATCCACAGTGACAGACCCAGAAGAAGGTGAGTTCAATTCCTGGTTAAGGCAGTGGAGAACTGAACCCTTTATTTCGCTCACTGGGGTAGACTGTTCTAGTGCCATGTTTAATGGATGTCAATTATCAGTTATCTCCTGTGAATTTCCCTCTGAAAGTTCTCCACTGCCTTAACCAGGTATTGAACTCACACTCTTTGGGTGCTGTCATCTGTGTATGAATTTCTGGGTTGCTGAAGACATTAGGTTTATAATACCCAGAAATTCTTACACAGATGTACTCGAGATGGATAAAGGCGTTGGTTAGGTCCAGTGACAGCACCCAAAGATTGTGAGTTCAATATAATAATTCAATAGTGGAGAACTTTTAACTGAGATCTATTAAACATGGCACGTGGAACTAGAATAGTCTACCCCAGTTCGACATTCTAAACACATGAAGAATGTCGGAGCGTACAACGGCCGAAACGTTGTAATAAATATGGCGACAAAGATGAATAATGTAAATAATTTCTGAGCAAGTTGGACGACATGCATGGCAGCCATAGGAAGGTCTTGATATGATGACGTTATTTATGATTTATATTCTTAGGCTAATTTCTTGGTTTTACAGCATCTTGCGGTGTTGGCCAAAATATCCTTGCGCAGCCTGTCCTATGCTCAGTTTCCTAATCCTCTTCACTCAGTCTTTTATAACTGATCTATACACCGAGATATTTTAAATGTTAACATGTTGCGGCTGTTGGAATTTTTCAGCTGACGTGGTGTTTGTTATTTGTTAAAGATATTTGGGATTTTGTCGTTCCCGTCTGAATGATCTATATACTTTAATCTTTTTTAATTATACTGCAACACAAATATTCTTAATATTTAAATAAAGATCAACCAGAGGTTTTCGGCTCAGGATGCCAGAAATCTATTCTTTTTTTTTCTTCGAAAGCTGATCTTATTTTTAGCTTTCTTACAATTCTATGTCGAGCGCATTGCGTAGGAATTGTCAATAGGAACTCCGGCTGGACATTTAAGTATATTTAGATGATTGTAAGACTTCGCTAAAAAAAATAGGTCAGCTTGTCATTTTGCCCTGGTAGATCATGTTATTCCGAGTAGAGATGTTATGTAGCATAAAAAAATAACAGTAGGTAAAGAAATCATACATTTTTGTTGCTGAAAGCAAAACGGAAAACATTTATTTCGTTACGAAGCAGATAACTGTATGATTGTGTTACTTTCTTCTTTTCTCTCTTTCTCTTTCTTTTGTCTTTCTCTTTCTTTCTGTCTTTCTTTCTTTCCTCCTCTTTTTCTTTCTTTCTTTCTTTCTTTCTTTCTTTCTTTCTTTCTTTCTTTCTTTCTTTCTCCTGTATTCTCTCTCTATATTTCTCTCTCCTTCGTTTTATTTCTCTTTTTCTTTCTGATGTTTAATTTTCCTTCTTTCCTATTTCTGCCGTTTTTTCTTCTTTTTTATCTTTTTCTTTCTTGCTTGCTTTATTTGCTCATTTCCTGTCTTTATCTTTCTTTCTTTCTTTCTTTCTTTTTCTTTCTTTCTTTCTTTCTTTGTTTTGTGTTACCCTTTTCTTCACCTGTCTTTCCGTGTTTTTCTTTTCCCCTCTCTTTCTTTCATTCTTTCTTTCTTTCGTATTTCTCATTCTTTCTTTCTTTCTTTCTTTCTTTCTTTCTTTCTTTCTTAGTCTTTTTAATCTATATCTTTCTTTCTTTCTTTCTTCGTTTTCCCTCTTTGTCTTTCTTTCTTTCCTTTTTCTTCTTTTTCTTTTTCTCTTTGTTTTTTGTTTCTTTCTTTCTTTCTTTGTTTCTTTGTTTCTTTCTTTCTTTCACTCCTATTCTCTCTTTCTTTTCCCTCTTTCTCTTTCTTTCTTTCTTTCTTTCTTTCACTCCTATTCTCTCTTTCTTTTCCCTCTTTCTCTTTCTTTCTTTCTTTCTTTCTTTCTTTCTTTCTTTCTTTCTTTCTTTCTTATTCTTTCTCTCTTTTCTTTCTTTCCCCCGCTTCTTTGTTTGTTTGTTTCTTTCTTTCTTTCTTCTTTTTTACCCCTCTTTCTCTTTCTTAATAATCAAGCCCCTGAAATGTCAACTGAACAAATATATTAGGTTTATGCAAAAGTGTTCAGCATAATTTTGTCAAAATCTTAATATGTATTGCTTCATTGCTTCATTATTCAATCATACGAATTTCACTGGCTTTCTATGGATTAACAACCATTTTCAGATGAAATGGCTATTCGTAATATTACGACTGTTCGTGAGCGTCTAGGACATTTTGGACAAAATATTTCTCATGTATAAATTCATGTCATCATTATTCAGTACTTAGCCATGGATTTTTACCCACTTTAGTCATCAAAATAGTTTCTCTGGCTCTCTATGAATTTACACTCATTTTCTGGTGAAATCTGTATTCACCATACACTGGTAAAAAAGTGTCCAGCATATTATTGCCAACACCATTTATACATACAATTTCTAGGAAGAGTCATGCCAGTACTCCGCTGAGCGGTGAGCCCATCGTTAGGCCACATTTCTGTCTATACAAAATTCCCCTATAAAGTGAAGTAGCATTGTTTCGTAACGAAACGATATATTTTTTTTTTTATCATTTTGTCCGTTTATAGCAAGAGGTTGATTTTTTGCCTTTTATAAATGTCTTTGTAAAAATTTTAGGAATTTAGTGGCGGGTATATTTGTATATACAGATTTTTATATCTAAGCTAGCCATGGTTTTGTTTATCATATCCAGTTTGCATTTCATTATCAAAATTTAATTGAATCTACAGACATTATTTTATTGTTTTGTCAACGCCTGTTTTCAAAGTGATGTCCGTTCTAGTTCCGGCACTCCTGACAACACGAAGCAATGGAATCGCGAGAATGAGGCTTGTACCATGCAAAGAAAATCTTGTTCATAAAATCACAACAGTTAACAATGTTCAGTTTAACTCCTTCATCTACTTTGAATGGTCCAATAAAGGCTTGGCCGACAATTCCAGCCTATATCATACTTGTTGCCTTATTCTAGCCAATAACACATCCAAACTGGCTAAAATCCATCATTCTTTCTTTGTTTCTTTCTTCGTCTGTTTAATCTATTTCTTTCTTTCTTTCTTTCTTTCTTTCTATTCCCTCTTTCTCTTTTTTTGCTTCCTTTGCTTCCTTTTTCTTCCCTTTCTTTCTCTCTTTGTTTGATTCGTCCATCAGGTCCGTCGAATGTCACTTGAGATTCATCCATGAAAATTACTTTAGAAAAGTCAATTTTCATGTATTCCTTGGCCCAATATGGACGATTTAAAATATTTGCTTTAGTGAAATGAGGTTACCTAAGAAATGTTTTTTTACAGATCCCAATTCACAAAGTATTCTACACCAGTTTTATTCTGTTGGCGAGATCGACGGCGGAAGATAAGAATTTTGCTATGGCTTTTGCGAGGAGCGCTGTTTATCTCTGATACTATAATGGAAATAAAGGTGCTGTAAACTTAGATGTGCGGGTGGTGTAATTAATAACGGCTCGAAATTAAAAATCAGACAGACGAGTTCCAATTCCAGCCAGGTTCGTTATATTCACTTATGTACAAATAACTCCAGGAAAGATATGAATGCACATCTTGTTCCCCCAGCTATGGAGTAATTAGTAAAACGTGTATCAATAAATCGTTATTATCTCAAAAACGTTCCTACAATCTAAATATTTATTTGAATTTAAATAACATACGAAAGGTTGATAAGCCGAAATAGTCACGATACTATGGAGCGCTTTAGAGTGCCTGGTTTGAATGTCTTAGGTAGACCGTAAAGTTGGGATATGATATACTATCAGTCTCACTGCTAATTTCTCTTCGTTGGTAATTAATATTGTTGTAGCATACCTACGGACAATAATGGGTATGTCCCCATTCACAATAATACATTAGTAAATATCGTAAGTTGGTCCGCTGGTCAAATCTCTGCCTCCAGACGATACTATGTTGAAGGGCAGAGTCTCGTCTCGGGAAACAACTACCCTACCCCGTTTTATACGGGCTTTACGGGGAAATTCTGGTCGATCCTACGGGCTCGGATACTTCATCTTAAATTCGGCCCTGTACCACATCTGACCGCTTGGTAGATATCCTGCAGTTGGTGATTCGTCTCCAGCTGTGCTGGTCAAACTCTCTGCCTCCGGGCAGAGAGGATCCCCAGACGAAGCTATGTCGAATGTCAGATTGTCGTCTCGGGAAACAGCTACCCGACTCCGTCTTATACAGGGTTAAAGGGGAAATTTTGACTGAGCCTACGGGCTCGGATACCTCACATTAAATTCGGACCTGTGCCACATCTGACTGAGTGGGGCGGACGGTAGATATCCTGCAGTTGGTGATTCGTCTCCAACTGTGTCGCGCCAGACACTTCAAACTTCACTCGGAATAAATTCTAATTTTGGACGGTCCATTCGACACGATGTTTCGTTTGTGTGTGTGTGCGTGTGTGTGTGTGTGTGTGTGTGTTTGCGCACGCGCACGTTTTGAGTATGTGCTTGCGCGCGCGCGTTTGTAGGATGTGTTTGCGCGCGCGCGTTTGTGAGTATGTGTTTGCGCGTGCGCGTCTGTGTGCATGGTTACGCTTTTGTTTTCCAATCATTTTATTGATCTAATCTCCTCGGTCGAAAGCAATAAATAAATAAATGGAATCATTGCATGTCATGAATTTTCTATGCCGCTGGTGTCAAGCTCAGAGACGAACTGATTTTTGCCTTCTTCTTCTTCTTCTTCTTCTTCTTATTATTATTATTCTTATTATTATTATTATCTCGATTGCTATTTTTATTTTTATTTTGTCACAGTGTTCCAGGTCAATACACATTTTGCCCAATAAAGCAAAAAGCGTAAAATCCTAAACGAAAAACAATATATTCCGAGGGGACACAAACTAGATTAACAAACTTCTGGAGTTTGTCTTTCATCATCTTAACCATTTCAGACATGAAAGTTTCGATGATAATTATAATACTAATATTAACCGTTTCCTTATAAAGAAACATTCGGCTTTCATTGACCGAGCAGCCAGTGCCACTGTCGGTTGAAATTTAAAAACCTTTCTCAAAACAATTTTTCAGGAAAATACGTTTCTCAAGTCCAGTAGCTGTTATCGCTCTTTCTAGTATCGATGGGGGTTTCCTTCCTAACCTTTTGTTTGAAGTAGTGAGGAGTGTCAACATCTTGATTATGTCATTATTTTCTCTTCAAGTCACATGTGCCATCCATTTTAGCTGCTGATGTTGTTGAAAGTCTTCTAGTGTTATGATTTCTGTTATCTGGTACAATTATTTGTGAATCTGTAGCGCTAGTCTGTAGAGAAGAAGAACAGTGTTCACCAAGATCCAAAGTCTTCTCTCGCAACCATTGATCTTGGAAAGCTGTTGTATGGAACTGACAGTTTAGATATTTCTGAACGGGTTTGGCGCCATATAAGACATCCATATGAAAGTCTCGGTCAGACGAGATTGTTTAAAAACATGACTCGAGTTTTCAAGGTTAGTGTTGTGGTTTTGAAGCAATTGGTGGTTTGGAGCGAAACTAAATGGAAATTAAACATTATTCATTCGAATTCCCATTTTAATTCACTCTGCCTTATTTTATTCTCATGTAGCAGTTTTTTTAATACATTTTTTAATGAATCATTCTGTTATTATTATTATTATTATTTTCTTGGATTTCTGTTTTATACTCATTTCCTTCGGGGTCCCAACCAGAGACCTAAGGTCAGAAATGGCATCATGACATCTTCCACTGAGCATTTTTGCAAAATGTCTGGACGATTAGCTTTAAGGCTTTATGTGTGTGTGATGTAAAGTCCCGTAAAATTGTTAGAGATCCTACCTCTGTAACCGGGTCTGGGTGATCTTTATACCAGTTTCTTGCATTTTTCTCCCGTAAAAAATTTTCCAGTGCAGATATTGGGCCTCCATCTCATGCCAAGTTTTCTATTCGGCTGGTGTTAACACCGTGCAACCTGATACAAGATGGTCAATCATTTCTGGATATTTATCACAGAATCTGCATTTCGGGTGAACACAATTTTTCAGAATATGTACTTGTCATATATCTAGTTAGCAAACATTGGTCCTGTGCAGGAAGAATAAAATGATCAGTTTCAGCTTTTAACGCTACACGACGTAACCTCCGATATGTACGGGGTTTGTCTCCATCAGCTTGTCTGGTGCAGGCAGACGTTTATCTTGACATTATTTCTGCATTTGGGACATTGCATTTGTTTTTACTTTCTTTTTTTAGGTTCTTTGCCGCTGCAGTAGTCGTATTATGTTTTACCCACTTGAAATTCACTTTTGAATTTGTTGGCTTCCTTTATTATTATTATTATTATTATTATTATTATTATTATTATTATTTCCTTTGATCTCTGTCGTATACGCGTTTCCTTCCGGGTCCCACCCAGCCAGACACCTGAGGTCAGAAATGGCTTCATGACATTTTCTGTTTTTGTGAATTCAACTCTGTATTTAACTCCAGACGCACACGCCTGTAGTATATTTTTTTGTTACTTTCTTTTTCGTTTGGGAATGCTGTATTCCATTTCCTTCGCCGATTCCTAGGTATTTATAGGATTTTTCTTAAATCTTAAAGCAAGGATGTCATGGGTTTATCAAGACTTTTAAATATGAGGAATTTATGAATGTTAATCAGGTGATTGAAAGGTCAGTCAAAACATGTGGAGGACACAAAGTGGCATAATTCAAAGTCTGGCAAAAAGGAAGCAAGTAATATTCAAGAATTTATTTTGTTTGTAATTAGGTCTTTTCTGCTGACCATAGACTTTTTATTTATTTTATCTATCTGAAAATATTTACATATATACAGGGTGCGGCAAAATGATGGATGACAGAACGTGGTCCGGGGGAGGTTGGAAGGAATTTTTGAGAGCTTCTATCTGTCCTGAAAGGAAAAATGAACAGCCAGTCTCATTACTCTGAGCAATAATGTGTTGTTTTTGCAAAATACAGATTTAAGGTAATTATTACAGGTGATCAAAATCCCTCCTCCAAATGAATGTTAATTGTCTTTTTTTCAGGTGTAAGCTATGCATACATTCTTTTCAAATCAATCAGATAGAACAGAAGCTATGAGTCGTGTCATAGATCAATTATTATTTTATTTTATTTTATCTTTGATTTCTGTTGTAAAAATTTGACATATATAGATATTATTAAAGATTATTGGTCCTAAAAAAAATGATTTATTCTGTAACGGTGACAGTATGGACTTTTGAAAGAAAGAAGGGAATTCTGAAAATCTAGTTTCAAAAAACTATTTATATTCTATTATTAAATATTCAAGACATCTATCCAATTAATTTAGGCAGCGAGCATTCGAAAATCTATCGTATTAAAATCTATCTTTTTTTTATCGTCTGAGAAGAAGAACAGACAGAAATAGACAGATGTGAACAGGCTGAGAGAGATATTAACAGGGGGAGATAGATAGATAGATAGATAGAAAGATAGATAGATAGAAAGAAATAAAATCTTAGAAAGCTATAGATAGGAAAAGGCTCGATAGATAGATAGATAGATAGATAGATAGATAGATAGATTGAACAGACTAAGATTAGATCTGAGAGAGATTTTAATCCTATCGTAATCTATCTATCTATCTATCTATCTATCTATCTATCTATCTATCTATCGATTTATCAATCTCAGCCTTTTCCTATTTATCTATCTAGCTAGCTAAGTAGCTCAGCTTGTTCATTATCTATCTATCTATCTATCTATCTATCTATCTATCTATCTATCTATCTATCTCATCCTGTTAATATCTCTCTTAGCCTGTTCATATCTATCTATTTCTGGTCACGCTTCCCTCCTCTGTTTTATTAATGAAATACCTTCGATTAAAAGACGGATACATCACACATCATAAATTTTACATGGTGTCTTTTCGGAAGTTGCTGTCAAGGTCTCAGGCTCCTTTTTGCCAGTCCTAAACTTTGTATATTAAAGTCTATTCGCTTTTCTTCTTTTTTTTTTCCTTTTTTTTCCACAGACCTTTAATGCAAAGCTTTTTTTCATACACACATCAAAACATTATCCATGATTCCAAGATATTATTAAGTTTATTACTGCTGTTGTTGGATCTACTAACCGAGCAAATTTCTGCTGGAGATAAAACCAAAGTACCAGCTATCCAGAATCAGTCGACTGGGGTGGCACATTTTCCACTATCACTTTTCGTACAGTCGACGGGCAGGTCCCAAAGTGCCTTCTGTTAATGTTCAGTCTTGATATTAACCCAAATGTTCTTCGCTTTGAGTGTTGTGTACTTATGATACCCAGGACACCAATAACAATAAGGTTCACCTTCTTCATTGACAAGTATTTGTACACTAGCCATTTTAAACTAGTTTCCCTGTTCTTCTTCTTCTTTGACAAGTCTTCTCTTTTCTCCGGGACATGCAAAATCTATGATGATGCATGTTCTATGTCCTAGCACAATGTCTAGTTTCTGTGTAATACGTCATTCTCACGCTGAATCGTGACCCCCTCCCAATTATTATTATTATTATTATTATTATTATTATTATTATTATTATTATTATTATTATTTCCTTTAGTTTCTGGTGTGTACTCATTTCATTCCGGGTCCCGACCAGAGGTTAGAAATGTCATCATGATATTTTCCACTGAGCAGTTTTGAAAAAAAAAACACTCATATATTTTACATACATAAAGCCCTTCGTAAGGTGTGAGGTAAACTTGTGAGTAAAATCTTTTTGTATTTCTTTAAGGCAGAGATTCCTTCAATGAATCTATTGGAATCATTTCCAATCAATCCGAGAGTTCAAACTACAACTGGAATTGTTAATGTCCTCATGCGCCACATTTTTGAGATTTCGATTTCAAGGTCCTTGTATTTTGATAGTTTTTTGAATATCTTCAAAGATACATTGCAGTCTGCAGGGACTGCCATGTCAATAAAGAGGCTCATTTTGTCTTTGCAGTCTCTAATAACGATGTCAGGACAATTAGCTTTGATTGTTCTCTGTGTGTATTGCGAATTCCCATAAAATTGTAACAGTTTCTATCTGCGTAACCGTGTTCATACCAATTTCTTGAAGTTTCCTTTCCATAATTATTGCAGATTTTCAGAGCAGATATTAGCACACTCTGTCGTGCCGTTATTATTATTATTATTAAATAATCTGTGAAGAGGCACATGATAATTTAAATATGCTCTGTTGACTACTGTGAAAAAGAAAAAAATTCTGGTAAATGTGTACATGTAAATGGGCGTTGTAGTGTATTCTCAGGATGAGAAATCGAAGAGCTGAGTTCGAATTCCAATCGAGTCCGCTATATTCACTTACGCGCAAATACTCCTGGGAAAGGTATAAATCCATCTCCCTCCCTCATCTATCGATTGGATAGGAAGACAGACTGAGTTCTGTAGCCTTGGTTGGCAACAAGGCTACAGCAAAAAGAAACGACAACCTTCACGGGAAAATCTTATTATTATTATAGGATCCTAGCCAGTAACCTAAAGCCAGAAATGACATTTTCCACTGAAAATTGTTGTAAAATAAAGTAAAATAAAATGAAACACTCATTTATATCGATAAAATCCTTTGTAATGTGTGAGCCCTACATGTGAGAACAAGCAGATCGAACGACGCTTTCCCCTGCTTCATGGTTCGAATCCAGCCGGAGAGCGCATCTTTTCTTTAATAACACTCCTTGGATATTTAGACCAGTAGACGAAAATAAATAAATATAATATTTAATAAATAAACGGAGCGGCTACTAAAGTATGAGTATCCACTAAAAAATAACGTTTAAGTAATATATAACGCAAAATATATATATATATATATTAATATATAATATATAATATATATATATATATATATATATATATATATATATATATATATATATATATATATATTGTTATTATTATCAGGGAAGATGTAATATATATTGTTATTATTATCAGGGAAGATGTAATAAATCCTCGTGAATCTATGCTATGGGAGCCCCACTCTACTATATCTCAATTTAAAAATAAGGAGGAGGGGAAATTAAACATCGGAAAAAGAAAGAGAAATAAAACGAAGGAGAGAGAAATAGAAAGAAAGAAAGAAAGAATGGTAATGAAAGAAAGAATGCGAGTGAAAGAAAGAATGCGAGTGAAAGAAAGAAATAAAGAATTGTAGTGAATGAAAGAAAGAAAGAAAGAAAGAAAGAATGATAATAAAAGAAAAAATGAAAGAAAGAATGGTAATGAAAGAAATAAAAAAAGAAAATGGAATGAAGGAAAGATCGCAGAAGAAAGAACCAAGAAAATATTTCTTGAAGGCAATATAAAATAAGATAAAAAGAAGAAAAAAGGAGATAGAAATAGGAAAAAGGGAAAATTAAACATCAGAAAGAAAAAGAGAAATAAAACGAAGGAGAGAGAAATAGAGAGAGAGAAAATACAGGGTGTAGAAATAAATAAATAAATAAATAAATAAATAAAGAAAGAAAGAAAAAGAAAAAGCGATACAAAACCGAAAAACAAAGAAGGAAGCAGAGAGTAAAAGAGAGATAGGGACAGAAAGTGAAAGGGAGGAGGAGGAGGAGGAGAAGAAGAAGGAGGAGGAGGAGGAGGAGAAGAAGAAGAAGAAGAAGAAGAAGAAGAAGAAGAAGAAGAAACCACTGAAAAGTTCATTTGGAAAGAACTTGTCGATGAGGAAAAAATGTGAGTGGGAAAGAACGCGATGAAGAAATTTCAGCAAAGACTGCAGTCCATATTTTCAGACCATTTGCTGCGCATCGGTCGAAAACACAAAGTTGTCAGCCTTCATATCATTAGAGGTTTTAAAAAGGAGCAGCAGGTGCAACGTTGCACAGGCAAAGATCCGACTAGAGAAGATGCCTTAGTAAAACAACTGCAGAACCAATTTTGATTATATGAGCATATTCTAACAATAATAATAATAATATCAATTTTCACAAAAGCGCAATATATATATATATTAAAGACATTTTTATGTTTAACGTTCTTTTCTTTTTTTTTTATAGATACAAGTATTTAAGTAAATGCTCTGTTTATAATAAACAGTATTAAATAACATTTACCGGCCTGAATGTCGTTCTTTGACAGGATTCGAACCTGCATCCTATACGGAACCGTCATTTACGCTGACGTGCATTCAGGCCGGTAAATATTATTTAATACTGTTTATTATAAACAGAGCATTTACTTACTTAAATACTTGTATTTATAAAAAAAAGAACGTTAAACATAAAAATGTCTTTAATAAATAAATTGTCGGACTTTGTCCATTTCTTAATATATATATATATATATATATATATATATATATATATATGTGTGTGTGTGTGTGTGTGTGTACTGGTTCCATGTAGCTTGGGAAATATGTGTGTATATGTGTGTGTGTACTGACTACTTGTGGTAGGATAGTGTGTGTGTGTGTATAGGTACAAATAAGTTTACGAATTCCTCGTAGTAAGGGAAATATACGCACGCATATATACACGCATGCTGACAGGAACACGCCAAAATAGAAACAGATCCAAGAGCACATAGAGGTCACTAAAACATTAAAAGATTAAATGCCGATAACTACTCGCTGGACAAACCTTAATTGTTTTATGACCCTTCACGCAGAACTCTTCATTGACAATTCTAGAAAGAAAATTCGGATTGCCAACACACAAACAGAATGTCTCATATCGATAATATTCCACATTGAACATGAAGAAAAATTAATTATTTTTTAATAATATGTAAAAATCTCCACTTTCACCTGAAGACGGTTGCGAGACCAGACCAGAAACACGTGTCGTGAAATTATGTAAAAACAAAGTATAATATTTTTCTCAATAAATCCACATTACAACCAAAAACGTTTGCGGCACCCTCTTCTTTTTAATATACATACTTTTCTCTCGTTGGAACCACTACAACATATTTCTTTTATATATATATATATATATATATATATATATATATATATATATATATGTGCGATGAATACATTGTCGTCTAAATTACGCAAAAATGAAAAATAACACTGACATCTCGTTTTTTCTCATTTTTCCAAAATTACACAAAAGTATCGTGAAATACGAAAGAGTAAATTTATTTAATGAAATCGCCATAATCCTTGCCTTCAGTTCATCTTTAATGTATTACAAGGAATTTTGTTGGTCTCTCGCTCAAATACGCCCCACAAATAATAATCAAACGGGTTGCAGTCTGGGGAGTTAGGTGGTCTGATGTAAGGGGTGATCTGGTTGCAGAAATTGACTGACAGTCATGACTGTGTTCTCCTTCTTGTGTGGCATGGTGCAGAGTCCTGTTGCCGGACATAGGGTCTTCCAGCAGCGACCTTCTCAACCCCGGACATAACTATCTACTCAAGGCACATGATGTAGGCCTCCGTGTTTACTGTGAGGCCCCGTGGGAAGATGAATGGAAACATAACGTCGCAATCACTAGTGATCACTCCTCCAAACACCATGAATTGACTGGATATATCATCCAACTCTTCCCGAATCCTTTGCACTGTGCTCAGATTGACACCCAAACACACTGAAATGTTTGTATTGGAGCTTCCAGTGCGAATGCCAAGCAGTACAGCATGCTGTTTCTAAAATGAATTGCGTCATGGTGCTCTTTTTCTCACAAGCTGTGCTCATATACTGTGCAGTCGGTAAAATCAAGAAAAGAAATAACGCGCATGCGCAAAATTAAAATATAAAATTGAAACAATTTACCCATCGCATCCTATATATATATATATATATATATATATATATATATATATATATATAAACACAGAAGGAAAAGTTATCTTCCCTGACGCGTTTCGTCCACTAACGGACTTTATCTAGGCAAATTTATCAAGGCAAGTTTTTCTTTATTAATATTGTCCTTTTACAGATATATTGTATTTGTATCTTAAATTTTTTGCACACACACACACACACACAGATATATATTGCTTAGTATGTTCATATCTATCAAAGTAACTGGTATCTTCATTTGTTCAAAACTATTTTAGTATGCTCATATCTATCTATCTATCTATCTATCTATCTATCTATCTATGTATGTATCTATCTGTGGCTTTATTGGAAAGGCGCTAGTAAATTGAAAAACACTAAATTCCTATAGACTGAAAATATACCGATGACCAGACGAGGGAAAATTAAAGAAAGGATATTTGTTTTTTTAGAAGGTAATTACATGTTTCGTCCGCCGGAGAGATAAAAAAAAGAGACCATTTATTTTCGATTAAGAACTGAGATTAAGTGATGAGCTATTCTAGAGGTCCCAGAACCTCCCGGAGAGAATTAGATAATATTTTTACGACCATTGAGCAACGGAGAGGAAGACGGGCCCATGACCGCGAGTTCGGTCGATTGATAAGGATTAACTTTTAAAAGCAGACCGGTACCATATGTGGAGACTGACAATCAAAGTTTTCTTCTGCCGAAACGCAATAAAATTTTCCAAATTAAAGGATTGTGCCCTTCTTACCACTTGTTGACGAAAGGGTTGACGAAGAGATAAAATGATAAATTCTAGATGCATAAACGACCACACATAAAAGCATGATGAGAAAGAATTTTGAGCGATATTTAAAATTTGGCCATTGGGCTAGACCACGCCTAGCCCTTGGGGGACGGGTTTGGCCAGGTGACCAAGAGAAGAGGGTCCAGGTGGAATTTCAGGGAAGGTAGAAGATTTTCCACGCCCCATGATAGACCATTCATATTTGTTTCTCCTTACACTCAGTTTTCCTGTGTGTATATATATATGTAATATTTGGTTGGATTGATGTGAGTTTGTGACCCTAGGTTTCACGCTTTTGCGATCGTCAGACAAACCCAGGGTCACAAACTCACATCAATCCAACCAAATATGTTAGCTCTATCTCTGATATTGAGCGCTTTCTAATAAGTACCGCGCATATTATATATAAATAATTATATATATATATATATATATATATTTATTTATATTTATATACACATTTTTTCACATATATATATATGTAATATATTTTCCCTGCATGGGACACGTGTATATATGTATATATAGAGATTTGTGTATGTCTTAGTGGTATAAAAGTATCTCCGAGAATCAAACATGTTTGTCTTCCTCTTAATTTCAGCCATTCCGTTCTGTTCATGAACTACGTTGTTATTATATCATATATATATATAATAATGCACATAATGGGGGAAATGCAGAGGGAAGAATAAATATTTCTAGCATAGCTTTCTGTTGTAATAACGATAAAACTTATGCAAATTTTTGCAAATTTCGATCAATTATTTTCCAATCATTCCAACTGATTCAAACTTGTCTGAGACGTATACAAGGTTATTTTCGTAGGCTAGGGAATATTTTCCCCTCAAATTTTAACCCCCACCCCCGCAACAGTCTATGAAGTGTATCTATGTGAGTGACATTCGTAGAGTGAAAGTATCATCTGTAAAGAAAGCGGTACAAAACATTCATTTACAAGTAAATATTTTATTTAAAATTTATTATAGTTTAAGACAGGGGTTCTTAACAGGGGTGAAAATCACCCCCGGTGGGTGGTGAATTTGGGATTTTCAGAGGGGAATTGTGACCACAGTAAGTTTAAGAGGAGGAGAGCAATCATAGAATTTGGCCTATCTGGCCTGTCACCTTCAAAAGGAGGTGGGGAATGGCATTCTGACAAATGGCGAAACGGGCGCATGGGGCAAGCAAGGCTGAGGACCCCTGGTTTAAAGTGTTGTTTTTGTTTTTGTACAGTATATATATATATATATATATATATATATATATATATATATATATATATATATATATATACTCGTGAAGATGTTGCTATTTGCTTAACTTAGTCGGACGAAAATTCAAAGCATGAAGAGTCCAATCATGAAGACACTACACAATACTAATGACGCGTTAGCGATGAGGTACCTCTACTTCATTTTAACCTTCGATTTAAGATGATAGATAGATAGATAGATAGATAGATATAAACATGCTGTAGATAGATAGATAGATAGATAGATAGATAGATAGATAGATAGATAGATAATGAACAGGCTATAGATAGATAGAAAGACAGATACAGAGTGAAATAGATAGATAGATAGATAGATAGATAGATAGATAGATAGATAGATAATGAACAGGCTGACATAGATAGATAGATAGATAATGAACAGGCTGACATAGATAGATAGATAGATAGATAGATAGATAGATAGATAGATAGATAATGAACAGACTGACATAGATAGATAGATAGATAGATAGATAGATAGATAGATAGATAGATATGTATGGATAAGGGAAGAGAAAGAGGGAGGCTTCAAGGAAGAAAGAGTCAAACAGATATTCTGATGTTTTATATTCCGTTCATGACGATATTTATGTATTCTATTCTCCAACATTGATTCTTCTCTCTCTTTTTTTCTTTCATTCTTTCTTTCGTCTAGTTTCTTTCATTCATTATTTTATCTTTCTTTTTTCTTTCTTCTAATTTTTTTTTATTCTTTCTTTCTTCTCGCCTCTTTTATTTATTATTTTATCTTTCTTTTTTTCTTACTTCTAATTTTTTCTTTTTTTCTAATTCTTTCTTTCTTTCTTTCTTTTTCTTTCATATAATCTTTTTTATTCTGTCTTTCTTTCTTTTTTCGTCCAGTCTCTTTCAATCATTATTTTATATTTTTTCTTTCGTTTTTCTTTCTTCTAATCTTTCTTTCTTTCTTTCTTTCTTTCTTTCTTTCTTTCTTTCTTTCTTCTAGTCTCTTTCCATCATTATTTTATCTTTCTTTCTATTTTCTCTCGTCTAATCTTTTTATTCTTTCTTTCTTTCTTTCTTTCTTTCTTTCCTTCTTTCGTTTTGTCTCCTTCATTTTTTTTATCTTTTTCTTTCTTCTAATCTTTTCTTTCTTTCTTTCTTTCTTTCTTTCTTTCTTTCTTTCTTCTAGTCTCCTTTATTTTTTATTCTTCTGTTCGTATCCTTCTGTGATTGTTTCTTTCTTTCTAATTGTTCTTTCTTTACTCTTTTCATTTGTACTGTCTGTTCTTTTTTTTTCTTTAATTTCTCCCACGTATGCTAACATTAACCGCTTCTCCACCTTTATAAAAAAAAAAGCCCCGTTTCATTGGCCTTGTGTCTGAACTATGCAAGCGCAGTAAAAATAAGTTGCGTCTATGCGCTTCCCGATCTTTTCAGAAACAGCAGCGAAGTGAATTTTTCCATCAACAATTGTTTATTGAGAATCTTTGTCTGTGAATACAATCACATTAATATGCAAAAGTGTGTAATATATTGGAAAGAGTTCGGTGGTACGAACGTGGTACGCATTTAGTCTGATTTCTGTCTCATATTTGCAGTAACGGCAATAAAGTTGAATTACGACGCGTCCAGTTCCTGTGCGTGGGCGACTTGACATACCTATACAATAAGCATTGCGTATATATGAATCGATAAGTAATGAACTCTCATTGATGCGATTGAAAGACTATTGTTCTTGTTGTTTGTGCAAGGGATGTGTGTGTGTGTGAGAGAGAGAGAGAGAGAGAGAGAGAGATTTGCAGAAGAAAAAAAGCAAAAGAGAAAGAAGAGAGAAAGAAAAACGATAGAGAAGTAGAAAGAAACAGATAAAGGGAAGTAATCGTTAAAAGAAAAAAAAGAAAGAAAAAAAAGAAGAATCTATATGAAGAGGAAGAATGAACACTTGGACTTGGTGTTATGTTTAACAAGCTCTTCTCGCCAGATTAATTACGATTGAGTAATGACTTCGATCCTCACTGGGCGCTCCATACTTTCAGCCGTGTGCTACGCTTAGCAAATCATCTAGTGCGCTTTGATGTGGTGTAATGGTTAGCAAGCGTCTCGCCAGATTAATTACGACTGAGTAGTGAGTTCGATTCCATCTATATGGTCTCTGCCTTAGGCCATGTGCCATATCTAAGCTATGCTCACTAAATCAATATATGAAGAGGAAAAATGGAAAAAGTGACAAAGAAAGAAAGAAAGAAAAAGGATATTTAAAAAGAAAGAAAAAATAATAAAAGGAAAGAAAGACAAAAAGAATAGTAAAGGAAAAAAGACAGAAAAGTTTAATAAAAAGAAAAGAAAAGAAAGAAAGAATGTGGAAGAAAGAAGGAACGAACGAAAGAAAGAAATGTGTAATATCAAATACAATTGAAGGAGTTGAAATGAATGAATTTAAGAAAGAAAGAAAGAAAGAAAGAAAGAAAGAAAGAAAGAAACTAAAAAACAAACAAGCAATGTGCAAAAAGATAAGAAAATCAATTAAACTCAAAGTGTAATAAAAAGAAAGAAAGAAAGAAAGAAAGAATTTGGAAGAAAAGTAGAAATTAAAAAAGAACCGGATGAAGTTCCAAAGAATGACATAAAAGCTGGAAAGAAAAGAAGAAAGAAATCAAAAAAGGAAGAAGAAAAAAAGAATTTGGACGAAAAGTAGAAAATAAAGAATGAAAGAAATTCCAAAGAATAAAAAAAAGAACGAATGGAAGAAAGAAAGAAATGAGCAAAATGAAAGACAGTTGAAGGAGTTAAAATAAAAAAAAGAAAGAAAGAAAAAAGAAAAGGAAAGAAAGAATGTGTATGAAGAAAAGAAAATCGCTGAGAATTGAATTCGTCGAAAGAAAGAAAGAAATAATGAAAGAAAGTCAGAAAGGTGTAATAAACAAGGCATAATTATAGTAACATTTTCTTATTGAATTTTTCTTTCATTGATTCATTTTTATTTTTAATCATTATCTTCATATAGAACAGCCTGATAGAATCGTTTACATTCTGTAAGACGTAATTGAATTAAGAAGCTCTGTTTTTAAAATTTAAAGGCAGCTATCACTCCCCCACCCTTAGATCCAGACCATCACTTTACTCTTTAATGTGGAGTTAGCCCCCATTTACTTTCCTAATAATGATAATAAGACGCCGCCAGGGGACGCTTTCTAAGACTATAAATAGACTGTAATATTTTCTCCCATTCTCTTTTTCCTATTTTCCTTAGACACACTAGTTTGTAAGATCTATCATGATAACGCGTTTCCCATTTGGAAACGCACACACAAAAGCACACACACACACACACACACA